CTATGGAAGCAGATCTGGCATGAGCAGGATGGTGGGTTAAAGTAGGCAAGGGAACTCAGCTGTGGTCAGGAGTAAAGCCCATCACTAGGAACCACTCCACCAGGGGAGCAAGAGAGAGTGAGTGGCATGTCAGGTGCTGGGACTCCTTGTGCTGGTCTGGACTTCGCTACATAGTAGAATCAGCTGAGGGTTTTAAAGTTACCGCTTCCTATACCACCCTCTATACTGACTAAATCAGAGCCGCAGACAGCAGGACCTAAGGATTTGTTTTTAAAAATTCCCAGGTCATCCCAAGCTGCAGCCAAGCTTGAGATGAGCTGATGGGAACTTTACTTTTGTATGCTGGCTGGGGTATTTACTTAGAGATGCACCAAGTGGGAAGCCGGGAGAAGAGCATGTCAGCATGTCTGCAGACAGTTTGGGCAAAGTCTTGACCAAGGGAGGGACTTGTAAATCTAGTTCCAAAGGGCACAAAGCACTTTTGATATGATCTTACCCAATTCCCAACAGCTGCAGAGACCCAGAGAAAGGCAGTGACTTGCCCAAGAGGGCTCGGTAGAGACTAGTAATAGCCAAGCTGGATTCCTGCCACAGTACAAGCTGCAAGGTGTGGCGTGTGTGTGTGCATGCCTAGGCTATGTGCTATGCGTGTATCTGTACATGTGCACGCACAGGATGTGCTGTGTGTGCCTGTGTGAATAGATGTATATGGTAAATGTGTGTGTTCATGGGTGGGAATATATTCATAATATAAAATCTATCCATGTATACATATATGCATGCACTAAATGTGTGCGTGCAAATGTATGTCCATGTGTGGTGTTTGTATGTGTATGCATACGTATATGTGCATTGTGTATGCATGTCACTGTACATATATGTGTGTGTATTCATGTATATTGGAGCATGTGTATATAATTATATATATCCATGTGCATAGAGTAACTGTATGCCTACAACATGTATATCCATGTGAAGAATGTGTGTACATGTATATAACACAAACCTACAAAAAAATGTCAAATAAGGATAGCTGACATCCTTCCACTTTATTATGTTTGGCCATAGATGTTCTTATACTTTCTAGAAGTTATATCCCATCACAGAAGCACTTTTCAGATTTTTAAACCTAGATTGAATGACATATTAGTATTTACCGTTTGGGAGGGCAGCCCACCACACAGGTTACCGGGCACTGTGATGACCGCTCCTCCCATTCTACCCTCCAATGCATTTTGACAAACTCTTTGGGCAGCTTAGCAGAGGATGGGATCCAGGAAAACAAACAGTGTTTGCTTCAAAACACCCCGGGATACTCCACATTTTTGCATGTGTTGTAACAGGTCAACAGAAATACTGGCTAAAACCCCCAACTTCAAGCCAAGAATGGTAAAGAAACAGAATTAGTTCATTTGAAGTTTAATTAGTATGTTTTGCCTCTGGAACAAGCTTAAACACAAAAGCCCTTTACCATCCCTCATCTCTGCTTGGCGCCCGAGAAAACCACCCCACAGTGCTGTCTACCCACGGTCCGTGGCCAGGAAAGGGCAACTCTCAGGAGTGGAATGAAAAGAACCTTCCTCGGGCAGGGGTTCATGCTGAGACACAGACAAATGCAAACACGTAAGTCACCAAAGGCAGGGCCGCCCTAGGCTGCCCTTTCATAGCATGGAGGAGCTGGCATGAGGCTGCGGAGCCTGAACAGGCGGGAAACTTGGAAGGTGAGCAGACACCTCCACCAGTCTAGGCAAACTCCAGCCTCTGAGCACAGGGGAATAAAGACTGTGTGTTTTAGTGGGAAGCGCCGCTTTCGAGAAGGGAGAACTTCTGGCCCGAGTTGGGAATTTAGAATCACAGGTAGTTAAGTAGGCAACATCATGCAGTTCAAATGCTGGTCGTGCTGGATTCCTTGGAAGAAGCAGTAGAAAGAAGGGGGTCCCCTTCATGGAACTTTGCGGGCCACCTGTATGTCCTGGTGGCGGGTGTTGTGTTTGAATCAAATGAGATCATGGGTAAGCTATTGGAAAAGATTCCAAATGAGTTGTACAAGTCTGAAAGGTGTAACTCATTGTCAGCCCCTCACCCTCATAGGACAGATCAATAACAGCCAGAGGGACTTCCCCACCCTTAGGGACATCAACAGTCCCTAGCAAAGATCTCTTGCTGAGCAAATTTGACAACCCCACCCCACCCCCACCATGTGCCTCTTATTTCCCACACAGTCAGGAAGAAAAATACCTAACACCCTGACACACAAAGAGACACCCTGAGAACACAGGGGAGCAACTTCATGGCCAGTTCCAACTAGTAGACAGCCACCTTCCTCTGCATGGTCTTCAACCCTCTTGGGGACTTCATGACCAAGCTGAGGAATCTGGTCTACCGCGAATAAGGAGGGAATAGGTAGAGATGTGCCTTTTATGGTGCCAGATCCCTTCTCCAGCGCCCCCAACAGCTCAATGCCCCATCCTAAAAAGAGCGAGTTGACAAGGATAGACCTGGTGGACAAGGGTCTGAGGAAAAAGGAAAAGCCTTTTCTAACCACCAGGGTAGTGGGTAAATGTTCTGACTGTTCACCAGGGGCACCCGGAGCCCTTCTTCCAAGCAACCCTTTGGGTGGGGCCAGCCTTCTTTAGAGCTGGGTTCTAACCAGAGAGGCCCTGCATTTGAGGCCAGGAGCTCAAGACCCATGGAAACCAATGGCTTTGTGCCAGGAGAAGACCGTGTGAGAAGTCAAGTGTCCAGGGGCAGATGACTTCCGTAGCTGCCAACTGGTCTCTGCCAGGATGCAAAGCAGGGCTCCTGGCATGGAAATCACCAGGAGAAAGAGAGAGCAGCGTGGCCGTGAAGCAAATACAGAATGCTTGGGCGTTTTCCGATGAAGAGCACGGAGAAATCTGACGAAAACAAAGCCAGATAAACCAGACACACCAGATCCCGAGTGCCCCGACCGCCTATTCCAGCTGGGAGAACTGGCCCCCTTTGGGAACCTCCCCAGAGGCTGAGGTTAGGGAGACACACCTACAGGGCCAGTCTCAGGAGAGTTTCTGGACAAGTGTGCAGCAGGAGGCACCAGGGTCAGCCCTAAGCCCTCACCTGGCTGAATCCCCTTCGGGGACCTTTGGGAGAGACACCCTCAGAGGGTTACCCACAAAGACCAAGCTAGATAGAAGCAGCGTTCTGAGATGACGGATGTCAGGAAACATCCTGATAAGCAGGGAGAAGGGATGAGGGGGGCCCAGGGACCCAGTGTGAGCCAGGAGCCGAGGCTGGTAGGATAAGGGTGGAAGGGGACAAGGTCAAGTGTGAACCATAGAAGAGTGGGTGGCCTCAAGCTGTGCCCTGGGCTGTGGCGAGGCCCTTTGTCCTCCCAAACCTGCTTTCAAATGAAGCTAGTGAGCAGTGACAAAGACACTACATAAAAGGCGGGGAGCCACCTCTGGTAGGAGAGGAGCCAGGAGCCCAGACAGGGCAAAGGGCACGGCCAACAGCAAAGCCTTTCGGTGTGGGAAATGGCAGAGTCAGCCGACAGCCATTTTCTCTCCCTAGCGCTGCCCAGGGGTCACCGGGGAGCAGAGGGGAAGGGGAACACATGCCCCGGGCAGAGAGCATGGGCCTTGGGCACTCTGGAGAACTGGCAGGCCTATTTCCTTAGTCTCCCCCTCGCCCCCCGCCACTGTCTCCTCGGTCTCTAATAAGCGTGCCCTGCTTGATCTGGACTGGCTCACCGTGTGCCCTCTCCTTAGCATTTTGCTCAGTTTGGCTAAACACTAAAAATAAAGCAAACATGTTCGAGTTTTTCTGATGATGTTTGATAACCAAAGGTTGGTGGCGTATTTCTCACTGGGAATCCTTCGCATGGAAGTTTTACTCTAAAATTTCCACTTTAACAGCATGTCCGGTGTACTCATCATCTTCAGCTTCAGGGATCCCCCCCCCCCCAATCGAGGGCCTTGTCACTCACAGCTCCTGGGGTGAGGACAGGACTGGAAGCCCAAACTGGTGAAGTGGACTCATCCCCGGCCCCCCACAACACACACACATACTCTCTCTCTCTCTCTCTCTCTCTCTCTCTCTCTCTCT